AAAAAAAAAAAAAAAAAAAAAAAAAAAAAGCCAGAAGCAAAATTCCAAAATTGACTGATTCCCTGGGTCTACACTTTCAGTCATGATGCACTGCATGAAAATCTACTCTGCAAACTGGTTGCCATTCAAAGTCGCTATTTGGAATTTGGAAGATGCCTGCATCAAAACCAACGAGAACGCATCAGTGATAATCTATTCTTCACTGAAGATTACAGAGCCGAGACTACAGATTGAACAATGAATTAAAACAAATATTAGCCTATATAAGGCAAATTCTGACATACTCTATTAATACTATTAATGAATGACCACAAAAGAAACATAATAAAATAAATGTTGTAAGCAATAATTCTTCTGATTTAAATCTTGCATACTAGGAACTATCAGCATTCTATTTGGCTCTGAGGTAAAAATATAGTCCGGAAAAATAAACAGGGCATTTGAACAGGATGCAACTAGTCCTTTCATTCATTCCAGTTAATCTACTAAGGAGAAATATAGTAGCTAGAAGCAATCAATTCAGTTCAGCGGAACCTAGAGAAGGTAAGAGAGACTCACTGCAAATGCAATAATTCTTTCATTGCTGAATACTTCTCGAGCCGTCGAGTTTTTTTGCAAATGATGAATATGAAATCAAGGGCTCTCCTTTTTTTTTTTTTTTGGTTCGAAGGTGGGGGTGGGGGGTGGGGTGGTTTGGTTCGAAGGTGGGGGTGGGGGGTGGGGTGGTGTGGTTTCAAGCTGGGAGAAGGATGCCTTCTCCACAAGACCAAAGCAGATGAAGGAGCCCTTATCACGACTGTATGTTAAGCATATAAATATATAAAACAGCAAAATAAGACTGGAACCAATTATTTATTGTTGACTATGTTTTATGAAAAAATTGTACAATGAAATTCCAGACCCTAAAAAGTATACACACATAAATACATGAACTTCTGTATATCTGCATAGAAAGTAATTGGGCAATTCTTTTTTATTATAGCCCAACCTAACACGTCATGTTATGCATAGGAAGTATTATAGCTTACTTTACGCCTCTTCTTGTGTGTTAGCCTTTGGTTTTTCATGCTTTGTACTCGAAATGCTGTCAGCCAGTTCACGGCCCATGGTTTCAAATGGAAAGAAGGAGACACAGATCCCAGATGCAAAAACTACACCCACAAAAAGAAGAATTGCTGTAGTTTGATGGCATCCTTGGACCAAACTTACAGCCACAAGAGGGCAGACCATTCCACCAATTCTTCCCATTGAGCTTGCAACTCCTACACCTGTTGTTCTCACTGAAGTTGGGTATATCTACAACGTGAATAAAGAAATAAAGTTATTACCCGGCCTTATCTTTCATGGATGAGTATGACAACTTAAATATAAATTGCAGCACATATCACATATTTTAGGTTGATAGGTTTGTTTACGATATATGTGTGTGCATTATCAAGAGCTGAATTAGTAATAGAGCTAGATAGTAAGGAGAGGAAAAAGAAGTTCAGCATATTGCTATAAAGAATAGTTTGTCATCATCGCAAAATATTGTCTATTATCATGTCAACCAAAGCCATGATCGTGACTTGCATTTATGATTATACATAATGTTCCCAAATCCAAGGACATTTTTCGATATACCAGATTGATATCATTTGATCAGCTTTTAAGTTACTTTTAGCCCACACTAGGCTTAACCTAATGAGAGTTCAAACCTCCCTACATAAAAGAAGGTACTTTTACATTCACAATCAAACAACTATTTACATTTACCTTCAACAGAGAGAATTTTCAGGTTTCATAAGCAATTGCCATAAAGAGTAAAAATGTTGTGAAATTAATACTGACGAATTATTACAGAGAGAACAGCAGTTATTGTCTTTAACAATAATCTCCTACTACTTTTAATAGATGAAGTGGGAATAATATTGCCAATATGATCCAAAAGATGAGAAAAACCACCTTTTCTAAAAACTTCATTTTATCATATTTTTATCCATGAGTCTTCAAAAACTTGAAAGATATTATATAGATGTACACTTGCACACTGAGAGTGCATGCTTCAATTAAATAGGTTTATAAAACGACAGGCTCCAAATACTCGGTGATTTTCAACTGCAGACTATAGTAGATATCATAATGCATAAAGAATAAATTTCTATATAATGCTGCTTCTAAGAAAGAATAAAGGAAATTCAGTTTTGCCAATGAATTATCATGCAGACAAATAAAATATATTTTGCACTATCTTTATATGTTCTTTTGTTCATGAAATGCTTAAAAACTGTACGATGATAATTGGCTTTCGATTGAAAATTCAAACTTCATGGATTTACATACCTCTGGAGCATAAATATAGACAACTGTGAAGGTTTCTGTGATGCATATTCGAGCTCCAAACAGAAGGGCTGTTGTTAGAGCTGAAGACTGATGGACCACCAATGGTAGCAGGAAGATGCAACAGATGAAGAACATAGCCGCCATTGAAAGTTTACGACCAAATCTATCAACGGTCAGAGCGGACAGGATGAGCCCCGGAAACTCTTTAGCAAATTAAAGTTAGATTTTACTCAGATGGTACTAAAGGAGTACAAAGTCACTTTTATCATACGATTAACATATTTCTATCTACTAATAAATGTTACCTGCGAAGCTAGTGATGAAAACATCTTTATAGTTAATGCTCCCAGACTTTTGCGACTGCATCCCAGTTGGATTGCATTTATTATTCCCATTGTTCAATTCAGTGGTCAGTAACACAATGCCATAGTATGAAAATGCATTCCCAAAAAAAACAATCCATAATAACAAGGTTGACCTTGCTAATTTTGGTGATAGAAGCATTAACAGTGATCTGAAGACCCCCATGTCAGAATCCTTCCACCTGGGAGGAGGTTGGATAACATCTTCATCATTTTGTTGTGACAACAAATTTCCACCCTCTGCTTGAAGGCGTTTGTCCCGTAGCTCAATTTCATGGTCAGTAACTAGAACACCAGGTGGGAATCCTTTTCCATTTAGTTTGGCTATTTTCTCTAAGATCCTAAGGGCATCATGTTTTCTATCTTTCAAGCATAAATACCTCGGTGATTCAGGTGTCATAATATAAAATATAAGGAGAAGCAATGAAGGCAAAGCAGACAGGGCAAGTAACCACCTCCAACCCAATTTTGGCATGATCATCTACAATAGTACAACATAAGGATTATGAAATTTTCAGAATACATGTTTAATGTATCTCACTAAAAATTCAAAGATAGAAAAACAATCAGCATGGCTCAAACTTCAAGAATGAATGAGCAAATTAAACTTTCTTGAAAAATTAAAAGTTGCAATGCATAATTAAAATTACTCTCAAGTCATCCAAAGCATTCCACGAAGGCACAGTAATTGCTATCTAACATGGTCGAACTTCATGGAATGGGTAAAAATTATTTATTGTTCAGTAATATAGAAAAAGACTATAAATCCTGAGGACATGACTAATCAAAAAGGTGTAATTTCAAAAACAATCTACGAGATTCGTTTATGGAATATCTTTTTCTTTTACAAGTGCAAAATCCTTGAACTTATTGAACTCCGTTTCAAATTTCATATCCCGATACAACCTGACAGATTTCAGAGTTTCTCCTCACTCATGCATCAACGATGTCTTGAGAGGTATTACTGATATCACTTGGCAATAATAAGCCAGAACTTGCAAGATTGGGAAGCTGATAATGACAGAGAAGACAATAATCAATGCTAGAAGAACCGGAATTGATGCATAAATAGCAAGGAACAGCAACCATGCTGCATAACCAATTGACTAAAGCAAGAAGATTCATAAAATTTTAGGCCCCATAATGTTCTCCACTTTATATTTAACATACACATCAGAAAATGTTAAATGGAAAGCAAAGTCAAAGATCCTTTATCCACTGATCTGAAAGAAAAACCTTAACAAAGAACTAACAGATGTTGGTCGATGGAAGGTATTACACCAATATAAAACCTCATTTTTTCTAAAACCAACTTGTCTGAGTCTCTGAGATTAAAATCTTGCCTAAATGCTTGATTAGAGTATACAATTTAGGATTGAAATACAATAAGAAATCAAATTAAAAATTCCAAAAATTATGATAAAATCATAAGTATACCCATGCAAGAGCAGCCTCCAAAATTGTTCCAATGGTCCAGAAGGCTTGGAAAATAACCATCCAAGTGCCTCTCTTAGGTGCAGGTATAAACTCTAAAAACCAAGATAGAAGTACAGGGCCACCTCCCAAACCAAGGCCAACCAAACAACGAGAAAGAATCAACGCAATATAGTTTGGGGCAAAGGAACTCAGAAATCCAGCCCCAGAAGTAACTATTGCTGTAACCAGAAATCCCTTCCTGAACAAATAAACAACCAAAAGAATGAATTAAGTGACCAAACTTTAAGAACTCACAGAATTAGTAGAACTAATGCCTGCTCGTTCTACACACGAAAGAATGAGGAACTAAAATAGCTTATCAAGTCCTAATATCTCTCTTTCTTTTGTTTTTCCTTCGACAAGCAATTAAGTAAAACATTGCATATAGAGTACTTTTGATATGTAAGCAATTTGGTTCTTTTTTTCTTTTTCTTTTTTTTTTTTTTTTGTAGTTCTTTTTCTTTTTTTTACTTTTTTTTGGCGGGGCGAGGGGGCCACCTCGAAGTACAAGACAACCAACAGGAAATGTTATCTTAATACAACATAATCAGTACTAACAAAAAGAACTGCATATCAGCACACACCTTCTCCATATTTATCTTTGAAACTAAGCCCCATCGAATCATCTGCTCCGAACCAGGCATACAACACTAAAACCACACTCGTACTTAGGCTTTCTTGCTGAGAAGTAAGGACCCCATTCATGCTTAGGTGGATCCTAGAATGAGAACATCATTTCCATTTGCCTCCTGAAATCTTTTTTTTTTTTTTTTTTTTTTGGCGGGGGAGGGGGGCCACTGAAGTAAGCACCAAAGAAATGTATTTAATAAACAATAATGATACTAACAAAAAGAACTGCTATAGCACACACCTTCTTCCATATTTATCTGAAACTAAGCCCCATGAATATGCTCCAACCAGCATACCAACAAAAACCACACTCGTTATTAGGCTTTCTTGCTGAGAAGTAAGACCCCATTCATGCTGAACAGCTGATCCTACAAACGAGAGAAGCATCATTTCCATTGCCTCTGAAATCCAACCCATGCCAGCATAGAGAAGCACAAGGATTTGGAATTTTCCAAAACCCATTTCCACAAGAGCTTCATCAATGGTGAACCCAAGGCCTTCATCTGCCATCTATAATTATAGAGAGACAATGCTTAATTTGAAGCTCAGTAGCTTGTGCCACTTAATAGTGTAAAACAAGCAAAAACAGTTGCAGATATAGGATAAGAAAAACAATGTGTCCTTAAAAAATTATTTCTTAATCACTAAAAGGAAAAAGAATGTTTTTGCATTTGACAAGATGTCAAGCTCATATGTGGAACCGAACTTTTCCTTTTGTAATTTATATCATATTGAAAGGGGTTATGCCCAAAACAAAATGCTGAGAGATACTAGATTAGACATTGAAATTTCAATATCTTAACACAATGCCATTTGGAAATCCACCAAATATAATGAAAATATATTGCAATTTTGGTTTTAATTATCAGACCACCTTATGCACCTAATAATCATGACATTTGTTGGGATTCAGTGGAATCAGCAATTCCCTACCTTTCTAGAAAATGAAGTTTTGTCATCTTTTTGGTAATAACAAAGCTCATTATTAAAATGAGCTTATTTTTAAGATGGCCTGGCCTGTTAACCAGATACTGCTGAATCACTCTTGCCTGCCACTTGAGCGTTCAGACTTCAGATCAGATTGAGAATCAGGCTTTGCACTTAAAATCAGCTGCTTGTGGACTGAACTAGGGAAAGCATACCTTTTTGTTCGGGGAAAAAAAGAAATAAGCGCAAAGAGTTGACCTTTGTAATAATCATTATCTCATGCGACAGCCTAATGATAAGCATCTTAACAAATTTCAAAGACACCCTGAACAAAAATCTTAAAGGCAGACTTCCAAAAACCTTGGAGAAAAAAGTATTCTGCCGGAGCATACTCTGGATCGGAATCATGGGGAGTACTACCTGATCATTTCTACCAACTTCAAGCTCGCACCTTCCCTACCCTTAAAGCGAAGCGGGAAGAAACCCATCTATGGCTTCTCTTTCTTTTGCTTTTCTTGATCCATCAGCTTTTTTTTTTTTTTTTCCTAAGCGTGTAAGGGCTTATTCATAGGGTAAAGAAAGCATGCCTCTAGTGTTTCTTCATTCACAAAATAAAGGATTTACCAACTAATATGAATCTATATATCTATTGAAATGTGCATGCATTACCTGAAAAAATTGAAGTGAAAACTTTTGCTTGGGTAGAAGACCAAAGATAAGGAAGATGAATTGCCTTTAAAGTCAGTCAAATATTTAATATAAAGAAACATAGGTTGAACAACAATCAACATAGATTATATCCCGTGTATGAATATCAACATACAGCAATATCAATCACCAAAATAGAAAAAAGAAAAGAAAATCCAAAACGAAAGCGGGGAGCCATATTGAAGATAAAAGAATGAGGAAAAACATAAGAAGGGTATTGTTAAAGATGGGCGACAAACCTTATCGGCGATGATAAATGCGGATCTACCTTCCTCTTCTTCTTCTTCTCCTACTTTGTGGTTTATACTCTCTTGAGGTTGAAAGTAATTGTGGACACGATAAGTCAAGTAATGAAAGAAACTGACATTTTTGTTTTCATTGAATGATAAGTTCCTGGATTGATTGCTTGATAGGTGGGCGGTTTTGTTTGTCTTTTTGCTCATTTTACAAATCTATGTCTTGCTAACGCGAATGCTATTCACAAGAAAGTGATAATCTCGATTACTGAGTTTTCTGGTTTTTCTTCTTTCTTTTTCCAGCCTTCATGGTTTGGACTTTGACTCCTTCCCATCGCAGTTCCATCCCACAGTAACCTTGTATTTAATTTAAGTATTTAAAATAAAAATATTTCTTTTATTTATCTCTTTTCTCTTTCGGGCTTTTTGGCCCAGTGTTATTTTGGGCCCTTCAAGAAAATAGACAAAAGAATTGTTTTGGGTCACATGAAGGCTTTTTCTGACACGTTCTCAAATATCACGTATCGACCCAACGCCAACAGTCAACTCAACTTTCTAAGTCTACCAATTAAATTACGTACTTATCAAATACTTATCAACTAAGGAGCCATACATCCTTTCAGAAAGATAAAAAAATAAAGAGTCGTACATCCTTTCACAAAAAAATAACAATTAATTTTTATTTTGATTAAAATCGATTAATCAAAAATTTTAATTAAATTAAATAAATAATAAATTAAAAATAAAAATATTTCAATTTTCATTTTAATTAAATAATAGTAATAATTTCAATTAATTTTTGTTTTAGTTGAAAGCAATTAATCACAAACTTTAATTTTGGTGCGTTTAATGATTAAAATTAATTCAGTCAAGACTTTTTGATTAAAAAATTAATTCAATCCATTTCCTATCTCAATAGGAATATAAATTCCTATCTCAATCCATTTCCTTCCCTATTTTATTACTTATCATATTTTATTCAAGATATTAAACATAGTCTACAATATTATAGTAAATAAGGCAAAATATTAATTCTAAATCTATTCAAAAGTAAAAAGTTACATATTTTAAATTATAAAATTTATTTTATTTAAAAATAAATTTGATTTAAAAATTATTGACAAATTATATTCACATTGTATTTCTAATATATTTATTCCATCAAAAAAGTTATAATGGTAAGTTTCAAAAAAAATAAACAAATTATAATGGTTGCATGCATGTTTACAACTTAAATTGATAAATGGAACCTTTCAAAAAAAAAAAAATAAATAAATAAAAATAAAAATAAAACAAATGATAGATGGAAGGTTAGTCCATGGTTGTTAAGGTCCATCATCTCCATCTCCAATCAAATTACAGATATCCGAACACTCTACCAAACTGCTAGAAAAGAACAAAAGAGAGAAGAATATTATTAGTAATAAATTTTCTTTTTATTTTTATAAAATGCATTAACATTAGTGGTTTTTTTTTTTTTTTTTTTTTTTTTTTTTTCTTTTTTTTTTTTTTTTTTTATACAAAAATAATCTAATATGTTTTTTTTTTTTTTTTTTTTTTTTATCAAAATTCTAATATGATAGAGAAGATCGGCTCAGGATCATTGGATGCTTTTTTATCAGATAGGAAGGGCTATTGCCCAAAATGTCTATATGAAGAAGAAATCAGGTAACGAAGGGATTTTAATTTTGAGAATTCATTCTAAATCCGAAATACAGTTTTTGATGCAATGATATGACACTAAAAGCACTGTTGATGGAATCCACTTCCTATTGATAAATAAGAAAAGATAAAAGTTACCAGTATTGACGGCTTCGAAATCCTTGCTTGAAAACCACTAGAGGTCTGCAAACGATAAAGAAAGGGAAACAATTAACAATTCTGTGTTAGAGAGTCATTTTTTTCTGCCATAGAAAAGTTCCATATAACCCTTGATTTGTTTGGTGAAATTTAAAAATCAATCCTTTTAATGAGATTCGATGCTTAGTCTTAACATGCAAATCAATTCAATTTCAATAAAAATTAATGAATCTTCAAAACTCGAGACATTTTGATTTACACCAAGGGGAGACCTGAGAAATAATACATTTTTCAGCATTATAAAATTGGATTAACTTAGAGTTTTAACACTAAAAACTTGAGAAGTTTGTTTGTACCTTCTAATATTAAGAGGTCCTTCCCCAGGTGAGCCTTCACCGCCACGGATGCAAGTATTGACACACTTGACAGTGCATGACTCTGCCTTGGTCGACTTCGGTCGTTGGATTCTAGGCTTTTTGCATTCCTTGGCTGAGGAGGCGCACTCACCGGATAAAGTTTGAGGTATGTTTGATAGAGTCTCCGCGCCTTCTATCGACGATGCCCCCGCCGCGGAGGCTACAACTGTGCAAGCTGCAAAAAATCCTGCAAAGGCTGTGTGCAAGCTACAACTGCTGTTGTCTGTGGAGGTTCTTTGGTTTCTGACACATCTTGTGATGCTTAAAGCAGCGGGATTATTTGGGGTATGGATAATCATTTTGAGTGACAGAGTCACCTTCATTCTCATCTTCAGACTACTGCTTAATTCAATTATCTCTTGGCTTAGTGGTCCTTTTCATATCCACGTGGCATCAACTTTCTCGGCCAGGAAAATGAGCTCGCAATTACTTTGCCACCAATATATATACACACACATATTGTATCGTCTGAAAATACATCCACTCGTTGTATTGTCTGAAACCACCACCATACATACAGTTGCGGAGTCAAAATAGTGCACAACGAGAAACCATTAAGGAAAGCGAATTTCGCAATTGTGGATATATACTTATTTTTCCAATTTTAGATAACAATGCATTCTACAAAAAGAGGGCCAAAATATTTCAAAGGAAAAATTTATATATAAAGAAAAAGGGAAAAAAAAAAAAAAAAAAAAAAAAAAAAAAGAAAAAAAAAAGACAAGAAGAGGGCTCAAACTAACCTCCCTCTATCATTCCTTTTTAGAAAATTTAGACAAATTAGAACATTTATAGTACACTCGCCACCAAGGATGCGGTTAAACAGATACCAAATATAAAATTCAGAATCACCAAATTTGAGCCACTGACTAGCACACATCAGTAATCCTATTACTCCTTCGAGGGATAATAGTTTAGTGCTGATGACGAGGAGGCAGCTCTGCGCCAACGAATTTCACTTGCTTTCTTTCAATAGGGAAAGTAAGCGTGGAGACCATGAATGAAAGGAATTGTTCCCTAAACAAGCGGGGATCTTAAAACCGTATGATTGTCTTACGTATGCCTATCCCGCTTTCAACACTATGTCTGCCAAAACTTTTACAAAAAAAAAAAAAAAAAGAAAAAAAAAAAGACAAGAAGAGGGCTTCAAACTAACCTCCCTCTATCATTCCTTTTTTGAGAAACATTTTAGACAAATTAGAACATTTATAGTACACTCGCCACCAAGGATGGCGTTAAACAGATACAAAATATAAAATCAAAGAATCACCAAATTGAGCCACTGACTAGCACACATCAGTAATCCTATACTCCTTCGAGGGAAATAGTTAGCTGCTGATGACGAGGAGGGCAGCTCTGGCCAACGAATTTCACTTGCTTTCTTCATAGGGAAAGTAAGCCGTGGAGACATGAATGAAAGAATTGTTCCCTAAACAAGCGTGATCTTAAAACCAGTATGATGTACTACTGTATGCCTATCCCCTTCTCAACACCTATGTCTGCCAAACTTTTACTGCACTGCCTCATTTCAAGCAGTGCCACAATGGAGCAGCAGAAAACCATATTGTCTACCTCCCTCCCTCTATCCAGAAGCCTTTCCAAAACAACCATATTCATATGTACAAAATGGTTATCCGGAGTTACCAGCAACTTCTGCAGCTCTCTGTCTCATCATCTCCATCACAGCAGCCCTTCTCCGTGAATCCGACTGCTGCTGAAGCCTTCTCAAATGCTCTTTTAAATCTCTGGATAAACATATATTTATGTTAATACTTATAATAATAAGATTCTCAAATTCTCAACCTGGGGGGTCAGGTTATGCCTTAAAAAAGTTGTTGATTTAATATGTAAGGTTCAAATCATAACCTGCAACGTGGCACGTGGCACTCGGATTCTTTGCATGCCCGAGCATGAAGTTGCAGAAGATACCACATTTTCTTACAAAGAACACAACCTCCCGATGCACGTGTTTTGCATGATATACCATGCCGGAAAAGCCCCTTCACCTTACGGCAATTTGGATATTGACAATGTGCAGAACGGCATTGTGATGCATGCACCAGAAGATCAAGCATTTTCCTTAGCTGCAATTTTTAGAATGCAATTGAATTAGGTCCCACACAAAATGATAATTTTAGGGAAAAAGGACTTTAACGAACACTTTTACCATTCCCGCTTTGAAGTGTTGACCCAACAAAAATGGATGGAAGAAATATTACCCAAATCAATTGCTTAAATCTTAAACATCAACAGAATTCTGTCCATCCAATATCTAACAATATGGATCCAAGTACTCGTGACAGGTCAAGGGAAGTGTAGAAAAATAGATGGGAAAAAAGAATAGCAATCACTAATCACCTCCCACCCAAATAATTAATAGATTTTTCCACCCCCTTGTTGAATTAAACATATTGAAAAGTTTAAGAAGTACCTGCAGGACTCGTAGTTGCCTGGCTTCTTTATTCTGGGCATCACGATCAGCCATGGATGGATGATTTGTCAACTTATGAGGATGATCAATACCCCCATCCTTTTGATAACAAGCGTTACATATATCATAATCCGGGCAAACTTCGCAGCGCCAACCTTGACCTGTTTCAATGTCAAGATGACATATGTTGCATGTTATCACAAATGCTGGAGCAGTCGGATTATGCAGATGGTAAAGGACCATCATTGACGAGTGTTTAGCCCGGCGTAAAGTATCATACTGATAATGATTTCCTTGACAAAGACTCAGGAATGCTTGTCTTGTGTCAAAAAATTCACTCTCAAGAATTTCATCTTTATCCTTTGTATCAGCAGGAACCTCCATGATCTCAACCTGCAAAATTTGGTAGTGGTGTTCTCAAATATTTAGATGAGGAAGGGAAAAGTGACAAGTTTCCAATGCATCGCTTCAAAAAGAATGCAGAATTCAGCAAAATGATATAGGGGTGAGCAACTTACTGGGTACAGTACATGTTTCTCCCTTTGGTTAACAGGATGCCGCTCCCTCTCTTCACGCTTCTGTTCAGCCTCATAACACCTCCAAAAATGGAAACAGTGACGTTAGAACTATTAGAGGTATTGTGCATCTCAGACTTAATTAAGAACCTCAAGTTCTGCACATCAGAATACCCAGGAAATTTGAATAAACAAAAAGCAAAAGAAACACGCCTAGAAAAGCCAAGATGAATGCCAACTCCAAACCAAGGAGATAGCACTGATTAGAAGTTCAGAGAACAAAAAAGTTTCCGGAAGGAGACAACTAAAGAAAAAGCTGATGCATTACGACCCTGGATTAATTGAGTGTAACCATCAGCAATATAAAAGATTTCAGGTGACATGAATTTTTTCATCTATAGAGTACTGTCTTTAATTTTGAATGAACAAACATGGATGCATGACAGTCTAATTAAAAAGTACGCTAAAGATGAAATACATGTACAACCACAAATAAGTGGAAGCAACACAAATTAAGAAAAAAGTTATGGATTTGTATGCCACAGATATAGAAGAGTGAATACAGTCAAGTATGAAAAACAAAAAGGATTGGAAGGTAAATTATGAGAAAATGGTTCAGTTCTAAACATCAAATCAAACCCTCCCACTGCATAAGTAAAAGATATCATAAAAAACGGGAAAGATGACAAACAAGCCCAACTATCTGTAATACATCCTTATTTCAATAACATAAATAACATCTTAAAGAATAAGACAGTGCAGGAATTCTTACTTATCACATATCTGAAAATTTTTGCACTGGTTGCATACCCAACGGTTTCCAGAAACCATTAAAATACAACAGTGCGTGCAGCAATTCTGTAAATGAACCATGATAAAATCTTCCTTCATAGGGGAAATTGTCTCACCAAGCTGGAGAGAAATGTAGCTTATGAGAAAAACAATAATAATCATGCAAAATTCTGAAAGTAAACATGTAATCGGCTCCAACAATCAGATAGCAAAATTGTACAGTAATTTATCAACTATCATTGTTACCAATAAGAAAAAAAAAAATTGGCTGGGAAGAAATAATAAAATGTAACAGGAGGTATAAATTACTTTGTGCATTAGTAGCAGATCCTTTGACGCGTTACCAGAAAGATCCGATTGACCAGATGCTTTTAGTGCCCTTTTGGTTATGGTCTTTTTGGTTGTTCCCTTCTTGTTCTGTTTTCTGCCATCTTCCTCTTGGTTAAGCTGATAAATTAAATCCTCTGCAGCACCAGGCCAATAGTCACCATCAAAGTATGGCAACCTTGCTGCGGTTACCTTTGCCTTACATTCACCAGTTTGCACAAAGAAATGATCATATAAATTAGTTAGGTCAACCACAATATTTTCCTTAGCAGCTTTCCTTAGCATTGACAAATACCTGAAATAAAAAAACCCCAGGAAGCAACACACAGATTAGTCAGGTAAGAAAAGACAACAGCAAATGATACATGGATATATCTGGTTAGACTCACCATTCCCGAAGTTTGTCAGATTTTGGTGTTTTTTGGATTTCTGGATGACAATATAATATGTAGTCTTCACCCTTTAATGGAGGGCAAGCCCATATATAGCAGCTTGTAAAACCTCTCTTCTTGCAGTATTCAAGGTATCCAATCTGCAAATGGAAAGAGTTACAAAGGCCAATGACGGCTATGAAAGATCTTAGTTAACTGCTTACATTCCCATGCAAATAAATCAATCGGTTGTTCAAACTAACCAAAATTTCGTGGTAAACAAATGTACGAAGAGCCTCCCCCGTGACAGCTTTAATCTCTGGTCTAAAATACTTAACAGAATCCAGATACGACAGATAGACACGTCGCTGATTTGGAAATTGACATTCTGATCCAAATTCTTGGACATACATGCCAAATAGACAGACCTCCACACCTTCAATCTTCTGAAACAACAAAATGACCTGGAAGAAAAAATTTCAGTCAGTAATCTAAAGTCAAGTTATCTCTTCTCTCTGCTTATAGTTGGCAAGACTTTATTACAGCCCTACCAGTTAAGCAAAACCAAAGGAACCAAAATTGAAAAATGTAAAGCAATGGATTCGGAGTATATCATGTGTACCTTAGACTTATAAGGGAACTCAGTTGGATAATTCTCCTCTCTAAAAATTTCAAGAAATCGCTGCTTCACATCCAGCTTCTTGTCAACTGAAGAAACAACTCGAATTACAAGTGCTTCTGCTCCAGGAACCTTAAGATGTAGATTTTTACAAGATTTAGATTACGGAAAAAAATAGTATATTAACAGTTTAAATAGCACGCCCTCATAGTAGTTTCTAAGACAGAAGAATATAATATATGGAAAAAAATATTTAAAAAAGCAACATTTGGAAGAAAACTTTGCTCCTTCCTTTTTCAGTCCGAGTTCTGTAACAATTAATCGTTGTTTCTTTTTGGTACAAAAGGATGTGCTGTACCAAAAAATATTTATTTTTAGCAAACAATGGGTCAAAACAGAGACTTCCATAAAATTCAGTAGCCAGAACACTTAAACTGATTGGGAAAAGGAGGGACAAGATGCGCATTCATCTTGCTTTTTATACATATAATTATGAATATTGACTACAATACGTACCATCAAAAATTTGACATGGAGAACATCAAGTGTGCAAATTTGACATGGAGAATATCAAGTGTGCAAATCTGGAAAGAAATCCTAAACAAAACTAAGACTTCAAGCACTTATACCTCAAAAAAAGGGGTTCAGCAAAGACATACCATGATGTTCTTATGTTTTTTTCCAAAAACAAAACAATTTTGCTTAAAGTGATGGCATCATCTGCATGAAAACCTCCTGCCACGTACTCTTTATACTCCAGCAAGACAAGATAGCCTATCTCTAGAAAACAACTTAACGTTTCATCTTTAATTGAATACTATACATAGGAAGTTTCCAGGAGGCTTTATAAATTTAATAACTTAACCTAACCCCGTATGGCATAAATCAGAAAATCGATTCGCTGATCAAAATCAACTTGCAAGTAGCATAAGTGTATATTGCACACAACAAAAAATCCACCGAATGTTGAAGATATCAAAATCACCTCATCATAACTTTTCCCTTGAATCCTGGCCCTCTCTTGCCTCTCCTGCTTCAGTCTCCTGAATAATCGTTGCTCTATGTGATCACTGAGTATTGTCCTTGGTAGGTCTTTGGCCCCAAGAACTGCACTCTGAGGTAAGGGCTTACGCTCTCCTCTTTCAATCTCTGCTATGTAGCAATTAGGGCAAGTATATTCAGCTTGCCCACCATCATTTCTTCGACCATTAAATAAAGCACAAATTTGATGTTGCCAGGCTTCACACTTGTCACATTGAACCCACTGCATGAGTATCCAAAGAGCAATGTAAGTCTAATTATTCAAGATTACCATGTAACATAATGCTAAGCAAGGCACCAAACACACCCATTCTTCAGTTTCCTCATCATTTTTCTTCTTTTCAAGCCTTGCTTTGGGGATAGGAGTCCCATCAGCAAGTATAGTGTCTCCACGCGCCTCATTATAGCATGGAATACAGAAGTAGTGTCGTGTATCACCAGCTCCCATGGTATAATACATTGCATTTCGCTTAATGCGGGCGCCACAAGGCGTGCAATATATCGGAGGTGGTTCGAAAGTAAGCTTTTCAACAGCACACAGCTGACAAGAGTTCTCACTCATTGAATGCTCCATTGCCTGGTTCTTTTCTGCCTTTGCCTTACTCTGTAAGTAACAAACAAGAATCGGTTATCACCATATAGCCACAAGTAATTGAGAAATGATTACAACATAAGCAAATGCTAGCCATTGACAATAAAGAGAACAACAAATACTTGTCTTTGCATATTTTTACAAAATACATCTATCTTATTTTTAAGGTAAATAGAACTTACAAAATTCCCTAGACTGGTTCTAAATATTTAGTAGCATTTCATGTGCAAGTAAATTACCTGTTAGCATGCTGAGAAAGTTTATTTAATCTTGCAGTCCATGTGGCACATTTAATCTTTTTTAGGGAAAAAATTGCAAAGATATCACCAGAGTTTTGGAGGCTTTCGATTTTACACAATAATTTGAACTTTTTTCTTTCTCCACTTCCCTCATCAAAGTCTCACATAATTCCTATGTACATGGGCAGCACCCTTCTCTTCCATCACATTATTTATCAAAAAGAAGAAGAAGGGAAGCTGGAAAGTGAAAAAGATCTAATGCAAATATAGTTTTAATGTTTTTAAAACTGCAACAAAGAAACAGACCTTAGATTCAAACACAAACACATATAAAGGTCGTACTCCCAACAAAGTCCCAAATGGTAAAAACCCGTTGACACAAAGTTTATAAAACAAGCCTGCATAAATAGCATACTTTCTCAGATTCAATACATGCGAAGAGGGCTAACGATTAATAAATTGTCAAAGTGTTGCAAGCACAGCTTCTAACTTAAAGCACAAAATTTTCCATGCTTTCTATCTAGGGAAGTAATCGCTGCAACCACTCCACTTGATATTAATCCTAATCTCAAGTATTATGTTCTGCATGATGACTCAATTACTGTTATAGAAAGTGCAAACGTACACTATATAATCTACAAATCACCACATAATACCAATGCTGCACATGAAAAACACACCCAAGACATTTCAAAAGCAGCACAGGATAAGGAGAAGATATAGTTTCACCTGGCCAACCCATTGCCTGAGACCTGTAATATGCTGTCTAATTTGTTCAGGTGTGAACAGTTCAGTCAATGATACCCCTTTTATTTTTGGCTTTCCAGACTTTGTTCCAGCCACATTATCTGTGGCCTGGGCAGAATTTTCTTGCTTAATTGACTCAGTTTCTTTCTCAACTTTTATGCTATCTTGCTTAGCTAAAGCAGTCGCCTCATCCCGTACAACAGATTCACCGTCAGGCCTTTGGTTGTTTGTATCATCCATGTTATCTTTTTTCTTTTCATTATTGCTAAGGCCACCTTGTCCTGAACTAACAGGTACTTCCAACTTCACTTCCATGTATTCAGGCTTAACTGCCATACAAGTGTCACCCTGTTTATAATCTTGGAGCTGAACATCTTGAGATATATGGGAATCTGCAGTCGCAGAAGCAGATATAGTAGAACTTTCACTCTCTGGCTTAAAAGATTGGGGGGACTGTTCAATCTTCATGCGCTTCAAGGACGGGTGAAGTTCTTCAGAAGTTTCAAGGACTGATGAATTTTTTGGAATGAATTTAGCTGAATTATCACCAGTATCATTGGATTTGCTTGAAAATCCAGAATCTGAACCTGGACGAGTGCGTGCCCTCATTTGTGCCTCTATATAATTTTTTACAGGAATACAAACAGGGCACCCTGTATCCCTGCAGTGCTTGTTGTGTTGAATCAATATCCTGCTATGATGGCATCTAGGATATGGGCATGGAGATGAGGTGCACCTATCCATATGTCTCCACAATTTTTGCACAGTAATGCAATTAACATCTGAACATTTCCCTTCAGGGGCCGAACATCGGCGAGCATGCCGCAAGAACAAGAGCCACTTTTGTTGATTCCTAAACTGTCGATCATGGTTTGCATTTCCGGATCTACACATAATACCATTTGAATTTTGAGTATCTGATGTGCTTCTAGGAGGAACATTTTGACCAATAATAGATCCTTCTGAAGCTAAATTATTTTGTTGAGCTTCATCTTGACCAGATATTCTCTGCCGGAAATCCTCTTGGACATTCTGCTCATGCGAGATGCTCTTAGGCATACCAGCTCGGTCTTGCAAATGAGGATTCCATTGACTCTGCAACACTCCATCTGACGGTGTTCCAGCAGGAAGACAACTAAAATCACTTTGAGACTCTGAAACCAATTGATGCGGATGCAACATTTGTTGCATTTGTTGCGAATTATGAGTCAGTGATGGACACACTTCATGTTGTCCAGGTGGCTGAGTGAGACTTTGAGCACCCCTAGAACGCTCTTCAACAACATTTTGTTGAAACTGGTTTTGCAACTCAGAAATTTGGAACTGTTGGGAGGCTTGAGAATGCAGAAGTTCATTATGATGATCCACTCCAGGCTCACACTTCACCTGGCTAATAGGATCGGATGAAAGCTGAGATTGATCAAAAGCATCATGCAATATATGTTGATGTTGCTTGTTTTGCTGCTTTTGTATGCATTGTTGTTGAACAAATTGCTGTTGTGGAAATTGATGATGATGTTGCTGAAATTGCTGTTGTTGATGACCTGGCATGACACTATCTCGAGAAGACAGTGTGGACTGAAAATTTATCTTTTCAGATTGATCAACTGATTGGGGTTTTAGATGTGCGGCCTGTTGCGTTCCATGTAGATTTGACTGATTATTTACCATAGTCGAGTTAGTTTTCTGCATAGGCTGCATGCTCACAGATGTCCTACTCTGAGAGTTCATCATCAATCCAACAGATGTTACAGCACCATAAAAGTTTCCAGATCCCAAAGAATCAGTATTATTTATTCCATACCCATCACCTGATAAACAAAATGTTCAGATGTGGCTTTATCCCAAAACAATGTAACATCATCTCTACAAGATCTCACAAACCAAGGAAAGCAAAGGAGGGGAAATGAATTTATGTGCATACATAGAGAAAGAGACATTACCATGCATTATTTGTCGCTGTTGTTGATCAAAATGCTGCTGCAATGGTTTGGGTGAACTAGCATATGGTGTGGTACTCATATAGCCATCAGATGCACAAGGTTCATTCACAAGCTGTAAATTGTTCCCAATCATCCCCATTCCACCATTTAGAGCTCCATTTGTGAATCCATATGATTTTTGCTGCAAACCAGATCTGATATTGCTACCCATTTGGCTGCCAAGATTTTGTAGTATGCGACTGTTTTGACCACCAACAAACTGTTTTTGCTGCTGTGCCTGTGATGCCATCGTGGATTCAACAGTTGAATAACCACCAACATTACTGGAAGACTCCATACTGACATAAGACTGATTATTGCTACTATTGTTACTGCTGTTATTAAAACCAGGAGTTGGAATCATCTGGCTTGTCATTCTTTGCCCACCCATGGAAGACATGTTCCCACCAGAGCTAATGGAAAAATGGGCTGGTGCCTGCTGATATCCATTAGACAGAGCTCCTGCAAAATTTGCGTGAATGGTGGAGATGAGTGACATGAGTCAACAAATTGACGCATATGATTAACATTGGGAGGCCTAAATTTACCATCGGATCTACCAAAGGAACCACCATGCACACCAGTGGTCGGCAACAGGCTACCTGTGTTCACAGTTGTGGCAGCTATACTATCACATCCACTCGAAGCAATCATCATAGTATCTACAGAAGAGACCATCAAACTGGAATTTCCACCATGTGACATTCCAGGTGTTGGAATCATAGTACTGATGGCAGAAGAAGGATTAACAAGTTGCACGTGCCGCTGGTTGTGGTTATTCACAGGTGTGCGCTTGATCAGACTACTGAGACGGCTCTCCAAGGTATTAAGGTTCATATAGTCCTCCTACAGAAAAGCTCAGAGCTGAAGTTCATTGCTGCATAAAGCCACTAAAAAAATAATCTGAAGAACAATCAAGCAATGAGAAAAAGAATTCTATATGCAAATGGCTATAAAGAATATAAAAATATGGAATTCAGCAAATTTTTGATACTCCATATTACAATATACTTTTCGCAATAACGAGTTAACAGTCAAGACCAATGCAGACTCTATTAAGGGTTAAAAGAAGAGGGGCAAAAACCTTTGACTGGGCAGCTTTAAATAGACCTTCCTCTAAACGTTTGGCAATGTCCTTAAATTTCTGTTTCTGTGGTTCAGTAACTGCCTGAAGTTGCCGCTGCAATATAATTGAAAAACTAGAAATGATGCAAAACAGAAGTCTGCAATTAGTAAGTATTGATCAAAGGTTGTAGTAATATGTATTGATCACAAGTTAAATACCAAAATCATCATAAATTTAAAACAATTCACGAGCAGAAATTATCTATTGATAATTGGAAGAAACATATAACAGCAACATTTATCTAAAATATTATTTGTCAAACAAGAAATAAAGAAATCCATAGCATATATGACAATATTATGATCTAAAACTTCAAATCCACGGTAAAACCTGAGTTTCAACAATCTCACAGATGAAGAGTTGTACATTAAGAATTGAGTATCGGTCTGAATAAAACCGGGTTCCTCTTAAAACAATCATCCATGCAATGTTAAAACTTCCAGAGAAAAAAGAAAAGGAGAAAGATGATGTACAGAAATAGGCAACAAATAAAGTTCAAATGTGAAATCAAGCTCTAACAAAAACTCGAGCAAAAGTAGCACTAGCAGCATATTAACCTTTCAAAGCTTAAGGGTGAGTTGTACTGTGCCTAGATACAATGCTAAACATTTATAACATAACCCAATCCCAGGATAAGGCCCTGAACAGTGTGTTTAGGTACTTAGCTGCAATGAAGGCCTTGCTTGAAATTGTATTATAAATTAAATACAAATAAATGCTGGAATACAAATATAGAGATTGACAGTAGATGAAAAGGAATGGACTTCATACATTTTTTCGCGCATATAAATGCGAGCTCTATGAAGCTCAGGGTCCATGGTGAACATATTAGGAGGAGCAGCACCTCCACTGCCAGCAACAGCTAAATTCTGCAGCTGAGTAGGAGGGAGCGGATTCCCATTTTGTTGGGGCAACTGGTTAGGAACCTGCCCTGAGATCTGCCCAGACATATGCGCCTGCACATTCATTTCCTTCGCAGCTTACCTATAACCAACTCATGCTGCTCTGGCTGCAATTAAAGGACCAAGTCTCCACCTTCAAATCAAGTCCAACTCATAAGTGCAAATAATGAAATATGTAACACAAAAAGTGGTGAAATATAATAAAGCCTCACTTGAACTTTACTTTAATATTCCTAAATCCTAATGATAGAGAAACAACTTTCAAGTCGAAATAGAGAAACAACTTTCAAGTCTAAAGAAAGAAACAATTTCAAGTCTAACTTACAAGTGTAAATTCATGAAATATGCAAAACAAACACAATGGTAAAATAATCAATCTCATTCTGAAATTGACTTTACCGACCAAAAATAAGTTAGAGAATAGTGAGAAAGAAGATTATTTTTGTCCTGTCGACAATTTAAGGCAAAATATAGAAGATAGAAGCAGGATGGCGTAAGTAACATCAAAATGGATGCGAGCAAAATGACCTCTCCGCGAATTTTATATCGCTTGAAAAACTAATTTTTTGCAACTTAAAAATGCGTAATTGAAGAAGTAATGAGGATAGAGAGAGTGAAAGTATTGCAAAAGGGGAATTGGTGAAATGAAATCTAAAGCAATAACGTAAAACACAAAACTAAAATGATTTTCTGAAAGCAATTGGACAAGTGGATCGTCTATTGAAGCTAGAATAAGATGCGATTGAATGCTTAGACCAGTCAATTTGAACGATAAAACCAATTTTAGCAAGTAACCCTAGGCTAGGTTAGCTTAGTTACACATTTAAATCAAAGAGGAAAAAAAGGAAACCCTAACGAACCTGGAAGTGAAATTGAGAGATAATATCAGCGATCGGGAGCCTCGAATTGACAAAGAAATCGTTAGTAATTGCAAGTCGATAATGATCGCCGACGTCGTACAAATCGCACGTGCGAATTGACAGCTTCGCTGTTTACGGTTTTTGCCAAAACAGAAGATAACGATTAAGGATTAAGCAGACGATAAAAGATGAAGGGAATAACGAATGAAAGCATATATTGCAATCGAATCGAAATAATAACAATTGAAGAGAGTCGACGAAGTGTTGAATTGGTTATTTTAGGGGTTCTCCGCTTTCAGGGTTCAATTGGGGATTAATTTCGTCAAATCGTCAAAGCAAAAAATAAATAAATAAAAAGGAAAAAAAATACATACAAATACCGATATGATGCGAGTGTCTATTCCTCTTATCTTTTTTTCTATTATTATTATTATTTTTTTTTAATGTAGTTTATAAAATTTTTTAGAAGGAACGGAGTCGATAAGAGGGAGGATTTAGGGGTATTAATTGTGATCGTAGGATAAATCATGTAAGTGAAGTGACACACATGCCCCTGTAAATTTACGCGAGTTTATTTGTCTAGTGATTGCTCGTCCAATCCAGCCATCCCCTCCTGGTTTTTTTCGATTGAGAAAAAGAGACGCCTGTAGGCTCTTTTTTGGCACGCTCGCGCTGTAGGTGATAAATTTGTTTTAATTTTCAAAGAATTAAGCATGTTTCAGATTTTTCTTTGTTTTTTTTAGGATAAGCAACCCTATTCTTTTTAGTATTCCACATTTAGAAAAGCAAATTTCCTCTTACAAAATTTTTTTTTTTGCATTTTAGATCCTCCCCTCCAACTTCTATTCAACCACTTACTTTGTCTATTCATCATTTCTTTAACTCATAATTGGAATATTTAATGTGGTGTTTGTTTTAGATTAAATTTTTTATTTTTCGTTTTTTTCTTAAAAAGTAAACAAAACTTGTTTATTTAAACTTTTTAATTTCTTTTATTAATTTTTATAAAACTGTTTTTTAAAACAAAAAATAAATTTTATGAAACTACATACAATGGTTTCTGTAATTGTGCTTTATGTTTTTATTCGAGACTTATGCTCATAAAGTTGTATTATTATTATTATTATTTTCTCTATCCAAATATCATTTATTTATCCAAAATATATAAGCATTAGTTTGTATGGCTCTTTTTTGTGCACGCTTCGCCGCTGTAGGATGATAAATTTGTTTAATTTTTCAAAGAATTTAAGCATGTTTCAGATTTTCTTTGTTTTTTTTTAGGATAAGCAAACCCTCATTCTTTTTAGTATTCCACATTTAGAAAAAGCCAAATTTCCTCGTTACAAAAATTTCTTTTTTTTTTGCATTTAGATCCTCCCCTCCAACTCTTATTCAACCACTTACTTTGTCTATTCATTCATTCTTTTAAACTGCATTAATTGGAATAATTTAATGTAGGTGTTTGTTTTTAGATTAATTTTTTATTTTTTCGTTTTTTTCTTAAAAAGTAAAACAAAACTTGTTTATTTAAAACTTTTAATTTCTTTTATTAATTTTTATAAAACTAGTTTTTTTAAATACAAAAAAATAAAATTTTATGAAACTACATTACATGCGTTTTGTAATTGTGTGCTGTTATGTTTTTTATTTCGAGACTTATGCTCCATAAAGTTGTATTTATTATTATTATTATTTTCTCTATCCAAAATATTCATTTATTTATCCAAAAAATATATAAGCATTAGTTTTTATTTAGCTCTATTAAATTTACACTGTTTCCCATCTTCTTTTCTTTTAGCATTATTTTATATTTATTATTATTTTTCTCTATCAATATAATTTAATGTCATATTATTATTTTATTTACTTTATTATAATTACTGGATATTATATTTTTAATCAATTGCATTTGTATTACATTAATATCTTATTATAATACTTGGATATTATATTTTTATTCAATTGATTGTATACATAATAATCAATAGTTAATTTAATTTGAATTTAACAATTAAAAGTGTGAAATATTTTTAATTATTGTCTTAGATTTTATATTTTTAGATTTTTATTATTAACTAAAATCTTTAATGGCTTGATAAAGGAGAGATTTGATAATTGAAAAAATTTTTCACATCATAAACTAAAAGAAAGGAAAAAATAATTTTAGAAAAAAAAAAAACAGTTTTGCAAAATAGATAACCAAAAATTGAAAAAAAAAAAGTTTTATGTTTCTAACAAATAAAAAACTAAAAACAAACAGCTGTAATAAACAGAGCCGAAATAACTCATTTATCGAGAAACTAATTTCCTTGTTAATTAGCTCACAGATTTAGCTATTTTCTGAAAGAATGGAACTCCAAGTCCTCTTTATATAGCGTGTTCCATGACTTCTTTATGATGTTACTAGCATAGTTTGTAGGAGATTATGTAACAGCTAGTTCTTTTCTTCCTCTTTATTCACCAAAAAAGAAAGAAAAATGCTTAATTTAAGTAAATGTTAATTATTAATTAATTTAAATTATAAAAGTTAATTGAAAAGCCTCAACTGTTTTCTCTTCACCATCATAAAGTATCAAAAGAATTTATTTGTAGCAAGAACTAACTGCTATTTTATAAACTGCGACCACATTGGTAGTAAAATTATGCATTCTGTCTGACTTGGTTAAGAAATGCCAAGCACATCTCTTGAAGAATGATTGTGATCTCAAAAGAAGTTAATGCTTTCCTACTACCCACACGAATGTAAACTAATCCAGCTGAGTCGTGCTTTTAGTTGTTCAATTTTGATTTTTAAAATGCCGATAAAAGCTTTAGTTCAGTTTGAGTTTGTATTTTAAAGCTCGAGTTTTATTCGAGTTAGGCTCGTTTGAAATTAAATAGTTTTGGTTTTAGAACCACCGGATTTCAATTTTATTCCGATTTAAAACCGAAATTAGATAATTTATTTCAAGTTTTTTAAAATTTTTTTAATAGAAATTTTTAAGAACATAGTTTTTCATGATTTTAAACTGAAATCACTCATTTTAAATTAAAATTGCAAACCGAAACTGAATTTTTAGGGTCTGTTCGGTAAAATTAACTGTTTTTAGTAACTATTTTTATAAAACACTAAAAGCTAAATATGTTTGAGTAGCTTTTTATGAAATGCTAAAAGATGAATATAATTTTTTCACAAAACTCTAATGTAACCTCTAACCGTTAGTTCAAATACTATATTGCTGAACCACTTTTTAAGTACCATGTACAAACACTAAAAGCTATTGTCGAACACAATCTAAGTCATTTGTTAGACGTCACTTCAATTATACTTAAAGACAATCAAATCACTCTAGGTGGCACACGTAGGGTGTATTTCGCACAATTATCTATTTTGCAGCTGTTACTGGTTCAGTAAATTTAACTATTTGAATAACTAAATAATTGTAGCTGGTTCAGTAAATTTAACTATTTGAATAACTAAATAGTTGTTTGAGTACTTTTTATAAAATCCTTAAAAATTAAGGTCATAGGGATAACATTGATGTTTTTAAAAAATTAATTTAAAGGTTATTTTAACAAACACGGTAGAAGTTCAATCAAACGCGGTTGCCCAACACGTACTTAAGCTTCTCTTCAACCCAAAGCCACAATGTAAAAAGAATCAGACTATTAACTGGGAACGAACTCCAAGATAAGTTACCTAAATATGCTTGAATTTTTGGGGGAATTATTCGGAGATTGAATTGGAATGGATAGGAAATTGAGAGAAGAATGACAGAACCAGAAAGAGACACTGCATTTAGATTGCAAGAAAGAGAGACAGAGTGGAGGTCTTGCAGTATTCTTTTAGAGACCCCACTGGATCCAACGCTTCAACGCCGGCGCGCCCGCGTAAGCTTTTTATTATTACTATTGTTAATTTTAGAATTATGTTCGCGAGGTATTGATTGTTGATATTGCTCTCTTTTTCCCTGTGCTGCTTCTTTCGCCTTTTACTGTTACCAGATTCCTGCTTCTGTTCCCACAGGACGTGATCGCATGAGTTGATTGACGGCACAGAAATATGCTTATATTGTAAGCATTGATGATAAAATTCAGCTACGTGTTTAATCATTTATATGCATGGAGGTCTAGGTAAGCTTTTGTTCGCTTGTAAGCTATAACTTGTTCAGGTTCCATCTTCTATAAATCAATGGACATTGAGGTGCAAAATGCATTATCTGTTGTTTATGCGGTTGAAAACTTAAGAAATGAACTCAAATCTATTCACTACTTTATGAAGGATTCCGCAAATTTATACGAGGTTCTGCATTTGTTAAGTAAATAAGACTGGGAAAGAATAATCCTTGTCTTATTGTTATAAAATTAGAGTCTGAGAAGCTCGTGCAAATTAGCTAATTGACCAAAAAAATATAACCTATGATGTAAAGCAACGGGTTTCTTCAATGAAGAAACAATACGTTCACGAGGATGATGTGGGGAAAGTAATTAGAAATGAGTTAGCAACTTCAAATTAATCTCCCTGATCTTGATGTGATACATTGATGGTGCAGAGTGCTAAAAGGAGAAGAGGTGGACTAGGAGCTAATGAAAGAAAACTGTCTCAAAAACACTTATTATTTTTTGGTATTAGTGCAAACTTAGTTATGAACAAAGCAGAATGAAAATAAAGATTCATACGGTCTATCCAACCGATTTTAGATTAAGATATAGTTGTCGTTGTTATAAACTCCCTAGCATTATAATCATAAACCCAATACGATGGAGGAAATGGATCATATAGCCAAACATGACTAATTTTAGATTAAGGCTTGTAAAATTGAGTTGAGTATTGGCAGTTGATTAAAGGAAAAATGAATTAAAAGTAGGAAAAAGAAGGATGTTTCCTATCAAATATGCATTATAAGTTAATTAATTGGGTACGTTTTAGGTTTTTCAGCAATCATATCAAATATCTTATATATGAGGATTAATAATGAATTAAAAGTAGGAAAAAGAAGGATGTTTCCTATCAAATATGCATTATAAGTTAATTAATTGGGTACGTTTTAGGTTTTTCAGCAATCATATCAAATATCTTATATATGAGGATTAATGTAAAGTTGCTTATTAACTCTCAATGGCTTTCTTCAATTGTCATAGCTTTGTTTCATTTATATTTGGATCCTTGGACATTGGTTACTGTGATTCTAATATTTTGATATTGTTTGAGTATTTGCCCTTAAATAAGTTCATTTACAAATTCTCTGTGTTTTACGCTTGTCCCCTCTCAGGCACACCTGTGCCTTACACCTAGGCTCCAAGAGGTTGCTTACTCCTATCCTGTGCTTTTAACAACTATGGCAAAAGGATTGGCTTCCCTCCCCTCTAGAAAAGAGAAGCCAACCTCTTATATTTAAATATAATTAGCCTTTTGACCCTTGATGTTAGGTTCTACTATTATATGTGTTAAATCAATTTTATTGTTTTGGTCATCAGCCTGATATCGGGCTTGTAATTTGTAAGGTAAGCTCAAACACAAAGAGTTGTGCCACTTAGAAAGGTGACATAGCCTGGGAGTTCTACCTCCTTGCGATTTCTTAGGGTTTTATATATTTTACTACAGCAGGATACCTTAGCGTTAAAGAAATACCTGGCTAGATTTAAAAGATCACAAGGAAATCAATGGCTTACTTTAGAGTCAATTTAAGGGATCAGTGGTTTACTTTAGACTCAGGATCTCCCAAGCTTAATATTATTGAATGTATCAGTGGCTTAGGAATGTTCTTGATTGGAGACAGCTAATTAAAATATATGATAGAGGATGGTTATAATGATTTATGACAAATGATCTGTGTGGATCGTAATCTTTTATCCTTCTAGTTCCTTGTAGATTCCATCGTGTTCCTATATTTAAGGAGTCAAATGATAGTACTCTGTATTTTGAAGCAGACAAATGGGAGGTTTTTTCAAGGAACGAGAGGTGTCAAGATTTATCAGAAAGCAAATTGATGAACACACAGATGTACCAACTCTTAGGCTTCATTTGTTCATAGACTTGTCTAGAATAAGAAGGAATAGAATAACTACTCCATGATAATAGCAGTTCCTAGCTTTAGTTCAAATTTAAATATGGAATAACTATTCTATGAAATAGTAACATTTTAACATTAAATTTAGTTGAACTTTAAATATGTAATAGATATTTTCCAAATTTTATGAAGAATGAATAATAAATATTTTATTCCTTGTTATTCTATTCTGCACCAAACTAGATCTTAGGATACCTTTTGTGGTGTTTTAAACATCTTTATGATGGTGTAGTTTAAACATTTTGCTTACAGTGGCCTTTTATACTTTCTTTTATCAACTATTGCTTACAGTGGCCTTTTATACTTTCTTTTATCAACTATGGTAACTTCATGCATGGGCGGAGAACATTTATGAAGAATGAATAATAAATATTTTATTCATTGTTATTCTATTCTGCACCAAACTAGATCTTAGGATACCTTTTGTGGTGTTTTAAACATCTTTATGATGGTGTAGTTTAAACATTTTGCTGATGATGGCCTTTTATACTTTCTTTTATCAACTATGGTAACTTCATGCATGGGCGCTGAACAATGCTGAACAGGAAAATTTTGTCTGAGCTATCTATTTATGAACCATATTGTTACTATGGAAGCTCCTGTAGACAAATCTTTGTGATGCCTTCCCTGGAAACAAAAAATGGTGCATCCACGGCCACGAAGGTAGATGTTTCAGTTGTTTTGTAATGGATAATGGATAATTTGAGGGTGCCACTGGACTGTTTTTTGTAAGATTCAAGTGTCAATTTATGCATTTGGCCTTGTAAATATCTAAAACCTGTTACACCTTACGTGCAGATAGCCTCAAGGTACTTGAATCATATTAATAGTCACAAATGAAACATCGCAGAATATGAGACATTTAGAACACATTATAATAGTCTACTATAAGTAATGTCTGGATATCTCTATTAGTTTTTATAATATGCTTTTTAAAATCTCTCTTTTTAGCTCGGTAAAATATGGAGGAAGGAAAGTAATTGGACATTCTAAAGAAATAGAAGCCATCTGTGGTTGTTTATAGAAGATAATTTCAAGTTTTGAGTTGATTCTTCACCTCCAACTCTACCTTATCATGTCTGATCTTCTTGCTCCCCTATCAATGTGTATTAGAATTTGCAGCTAGATATTATATTGCAGCCTCATTAGTGTATGGAAACACCAGATCTAGAATTAGAATCACTTCAAACACTAGTGCCTTGTTCTTTTCCTTGAAAGGTAAGCGGCAAGTTCAGGTCACCTAAACTTGAGTTGCATTTCATTGAATAATCACCTTCTTGTTTAAATTTTTATAAGCTACTCGGATAATAAGGACAGGAAAACCATGGATTAGGGCAAGGGGTTTGGCTTATGTGTCGTGGTGTAGTTGATATGTTAAATATTGACCGAGTAATAAATATATACTAGTTGGCTATGGTGCAACTAATATGTTGACATTATTAGATGGAAAATAATGTTCTTTGCCAGAAGTTTCTTGAATCCGTTGTTGATTATGTAGAGCACCAAACAGAACTGACCTGCTTTGGGCCAGGAAATCGGGCTGATATTGCACCTGGACTTCAACACCCAAATGGATTGAACTTTACCATGCCTTCTCACTTTTTCTTTCTCGGCAGATGTGGTGTGGGATTCTTGGTTGTGGGATTTCGCGCCACTTTCAACAAAGGATCCAATTCCACTAACGACCGAAACAGGAAATTAATCCCACTCACTCCCGGAGTTGTTTTGCCTTTGGTTGTGTACCATTCTGGATAGGTTGGACTTAGTTTTTTTTTTTTTTTTTTTTTTTTTTTTTTTTTTTTTTTTTTTTTTTTTTTTTTTTGAGAAGAGATGCATTCAGTTATATGCTCGTATCAACTCACTGTAGAACTGATGGCAACACTACCTATGTATTGATTTGAAAGAATAATAAGTTCCAAAAATTGCCGTTTTATCCATATTTATTTCATTTTAAATCTTTTTTTCTTGTCTATTCATCTTCGTATGGTTTACATCAAATGATACCTAAAACTTGTGCAAATAACTGACTGTAGAACAGTCAGCAAATTTCGCTGCATTTTGGGTCTTTAGCTAGCTTAATTTAACAAGAGAATGCTAGTACCAGAATTTCGAGTCTTAACTTAATTTAATAGGGGAATTATCTACAGTGGGTGTATATTTATTCTTTGTGCATTCAACTAATAATTGATTGTAATTTTATAAAACTCACTTCCATTCTTGTTTTTTCCATTGAGAAAAAAATACACAAAAACTTTGTCCAAATATCATTATTAAATGTATTAGATGTATATTATATATACTCGTGTAATGTAATTTTTTTTTATTTTTTTTTTTTTTTTTGAGTAAAGTGTAAGGTAACTCTTGCTATTAAAAAAAATGATCAAATTTGTCAGGAATTTTTTATTTAAAAACAAAGTCAAATGAATGAATTTGGGAGAGAAGGGAACAAGAGGCGAACCATCAACCCCGCTCAAGACACCATATATATGTATTATAATAAAATATGGAATAGATTTATACCTTGGCTTGGCTTGGCTTGGCTTGGCTATTCATGTTTTTTAACATCGCCTGCGGGTTTGACTAGGATTAAGCTTCAGGTTGCATCCGCAAGTAACAATAAAAAATAAATATATAAAGAAATGCTTTAAATGAAACAAATGCTTTAAATGCAAGGGCAAAAAAAAAAAAAAAGGTTATGTGGGAAGGAGTTGACTAGCCTGTTTGCCTATAAAATCACACGCGTCCGCCATCCCAAAGGACCCAAACCACCAGCTGGTGATTGAACGCTAGAGAAACATAAACACCCATAATTAGCTAGAGAAACATAACACCATAATATATATGGGTTCTGAAGGAGGGGAGAGGACGTTCACTGTATCGGTGGCCAAGAAGGAAGTGGTGGCAGCAGTGCTGCCATTGCAAGAACATTGGCTGCCACTCTCCAACCTAGACTTGCTTCTCCCTCCAGTTGATGTGGGTGTTTTCTTTTGTTATAGAAACCCATTAATGAGCATGAATTTTGGGTCCATGGTTGGTGCTCTTAAGAAAGCTTTGGCTCAAGTTCTGGTTTCCTACTACGCTTTCGCTGGTGAGGTTGTGGCGAACTCAGCGGGAGAGCCTGAGATACTACACTACAAAAAAAACGGCATTTTGCGACCGACCAATCGGTCGCAAAATGCCAAAAAATCGGTCGCTAAATTCAATTAGCGACCGATTTGCACCGAATATTTTTGGTCGCAAATATGCTCGTTCGCAAAATATTTTGCGACGATTTTTTCGTCAGTCGCAAATTAGCGACGATAAAATCGGTCGCAAAATGTCCAAGGAAAAATTCTGTCGCAAGCGGTCCGCAATCGTAATTTAAAATTTTTTATTTGTGGTCACTAATCCGGTCGCAAATCGGTCGCAAAATTGAAAAAAAATTAAAAAAAAAATAATATTATTTATAAAAACCATTATTTTTTTCGCACCTGTGAAATTGACGCAATATTTAATATATATATATATATATTATATATATATATATTATTCACAAACGCAATTCAAAAACAATATAAAATGTACAAAATGTTCAAAAACAAAATTGGACAAAGCTAAAAAGAAAGAACGACCAATATTCAAAACCAACTCAACTCCATTAAAAAAAAAAAAAAAAAAAAAAGAAAAGAAACGTAAAATCAGTGAACTTATTTCAACAGTGAACTTATTCAACATATATTATAGCCACCCAGAAAAATATGTTCCACTTCTACATTAATAACAGTTGCAAATACAGTGCTTTGCAGCACCATATTCCAACTCCTTATGTTGTAGCCTATAAATTAAGGTGACATGGCCCTTCTTTTAAAAAAATTGTCACCCGATGTTACTTTCATCTTCTCTTTCAATTTGCTTTTTTTTTTTTTTTTGGACAACATCCTTTACCTGGCTCTTCAACATGTCAATCATCTATGGCTCACTGCACCGCTCATTATTGCTGGGTACTGCAGAACTTGGTATCCGAAGGGATTCACTAGTTCCGCAACGTTCCCCGTTCCCAATTGCAATATCATTTTTTCTCGAAAATAATTTCCACAACTGCTCCACATACTGTCAAACAACAATTATATTGCGACATTAAACGGTCATAATTTTGGATAACAGAAATTTATCATTAACATATGATAACTATACTACTGTGATTCATCCCTTCATTACAATGAGTTTAGGTTGCATTACCTTATTCATGACTCTGACAAATACTTGGATGATAGCACGGTACACATTACCTTTGCCAACATATAATTAGCAAGAGAGACAACCCAATATATACAAAATGTAACAAGTGTAAATGGTATGATTTATTATTAGCTCTTGTAACAAGTGTAAAATATCAAATGCTTGAATTATTATTAGCTCCCGTAACAAGTGTAAAATATCAAATGCTTGAAACTAAAAAGTTCATATTGGGAAGATAACAATAAAATGAAAAATACTTCAACCTTGGAGCTACATGTTTAATGGTAAACATAATTTTAATTTTTGTATCCTAAAATAGTAACTACAAACTTGAATAAATGGTCCATTGATGAGGAAATAGTTCAACTTTAATTAGAAAGAGTTACAACTTTAACTTTAAAGTATAAGCAAATTGACACATTATACAAACTGATTTTAAATTTGTCCATCAAATCTTTTTCTATTTTGTAATTCCTTATCTGCTACCATTGGTAAATTGCAAATAATTTTAATTTGAATATAAGATATTTTCCTATTCTAAACTGCATGTTGATTATATCATGTCATTACCATTCACTGTTATTCTTATTATTTAACGTCTTATTTTTTTCACTTAATTTATTTGTGATCCAATATCTGCATATAAAAATTAATCCTTTTGTTTATATTTATCAAAGGGTAGAAATAGGGGATAGAAGAATTTTTCAGTACTGAATATAATTAGCCCCTAATTAGATCATAATAATTATTTAGTTTATTCATATTTCTTGTGCTAATTCCATGCAATTTCACTTGTAGCTAAATCTTTCAAGTCCTAAACTATTACTTCAAACATGTATCATACATAATAAGCTTTTTGAATCATCTAATATAATTGATATGGTCTTTGAATGTATGACCAGAATATAGCACTTAGCCTAAAAAAACTACTTTAATATTCACTTATATCCACTCTCATTGGTCAATATATGATACTATATATGATACTACAAAATTTGCAAAACAATATTCACAAATAATAGGACATGGAGATCGCACTAGGATGCACAACTGGTGGTTGCTCCATTCCAATTGTCCTCTTCTATATTAATGAATTTAAAAACATTAAAACACACTTTGATTTAACAAAAACAGACTACTATTTGGTTAAAACTTCATAATCATAACGAAAATAAGTTACTATTTTCCAAACCAGATTTTCCAAATAAAAAAAATCACAACAAACAGTTTGCTACCATTTATGGTCTCCTTAACGTGTAAAGAGAAAGATGAATAAGAGTGTCTCGATCAAATAAGGCATGATAATTAAAAATTAAAAAAAAAAACAAAGATAAAAAATAACAATTACAGAATGATTAACAAGGAGATGTCAATCAACTTTTAATAATGAAAAAATTAAATCAATTTGTAATTACTTGTGAATCTTCACCCGATGAATGCAGCTGAATCTGAGAAGAGGATAGGATAATACAACGAAGAGAAGAGATGAAAGGGTTTTGTTGAGGTATTTTTGTTCAATTCAGAGGATATTTTGTTCAATTCAGCTGGGCATCTCGTAAAACATGGTGTGCGTTTTGGGCGCTCTAATTATTCTAATATTTTGCCCTAAAAAATTATATGGGTAGTGGTAGATATTTAACAATTCGCCCCTAATTTAGTGCCCTAAAAAAAATCAAAAAAAAAAAAAAATCGCAAGACTTACCTCAACTTGTGTCCAAATAGCAATAGAGTGACCGGAGTTGCAATGGAGCAAAGATGGCGGTGACAGGCAGGCTGGAGCGGCGTCAGGATGGACTGGAGTGGCGCTATGAACGGAGGAGAGGAGAGGAGGAGGAGAAGAAAGAAAGAAGAAAGAAGAAGGAGGGCGTCTGGCATTTAAAGCCCTAAAATTTGCGACCGACTGGTCGGTCTCGCAAAATGTCCTTAATATCGGTCGCCAATTTTTTAACTCGGCAATTGTTCGTTTTTATTTGCAATAAAATTTGCGACCGCAGATTTGCGACTAACCTGCGCGTCGCAAAAATCTGGTTGCAAATCAGTCGCAAATCGGATCTCAGAACTTATTCCTAATTGAAGGCGGCAATTTTGCGACGGAAAAAAAACGTATGTCGGCAATCGGTCTTGAAGCGCGCAATTTTGCGACGGAAAAAACGTTGTCGCAAATCGGTCGCAAATCCGTAGTACACTAGTCGCAAACTGAAAAACAAACTCGCGGAAACTTTTAGCGCTATAATTAGTGACTGTTTGTCTATAGGTCGCAATTCGGTCGTAAAATTGCGACTGATTTTAGGCGGTCGCAAAAATCGGTCGCAAATCGGGGATTTTTTTGTAGTGCTATGCAGCAACCGTGGTGTGGACTTTTATGAGGCTTTTGCAGATATTGAGCTTCAACACCTCAACTTGTATAACCCCGACCAGAGCATTGAAGCCAAACTCGTGCCCAAGAAGGAGGACGGTGTGCTTGCTGTCTAGGTTAGTGACTCTCTCACGCGTTAGTTTTCTTCTTATATATTCCCAAGGGAGAAGCCAAAAATGGAGTGTACAGTAACAAATTTCACATTTCACACGTAAACCAGCAACAGATCATCTATTATAAAATTTAACTTTCCAATCTTTCTTTTAAAATCTTTCAAATAATTATACATAAGATCAGAAATATGCCAAATTTTTTCAGTCATGTTAATGTCCTTCCTGTATTTGTTCTCATATGTATGATATGCATTCGATTGCAGTCCGCCCAACTGACACGTGTGATATATGAATTGATGTTTTATAATTTTTGCCTTTGGTTGGGTCCGAATAAAAGCAAATATTTAGTGGTCCACAACACTTTGACCCGTTTTCACGGTCAGAAAACCCATCTCGAACGAGTATTTTCTCATATTTTCCAATCTCATCCTTCGTTTTAGTCCCACGAAAGCTCTATTTCTTAAATTTTCTCACCAAGCATAACAATTTCAAAAATTGGATTTTAATTTATAATTTTCTTATAAGTTTATAATTACATAATATTTAAGTTATTTAAATTAAACTAAAGATAAAATCGAATGATGGAGCGTACTTCCACATTCACTCACACATATATACTAATTGCTAAGGTATTAATCTTTAATGCAATTAGTCCAGTGATAAAAAAAACTAAAATTAATCTTTTTGTAATTATTAAATTTTATTTAATTGATATTTTTGTATATCAATTATCTAGCTAATTGTATTAAAATAATTTATTATAATATTCTAAAAATTATATTTCATATGCAGTAAGTAAAATAATACTAATATACCAATTAATTTCCCCAAGTCATATCCAATTAATTTCCCCAAGTCATATGCGAGATTTCTAATATATTAGCACCACATGCATATTTCCTTAAAAAAAAAAATTATGCAGGCAACAAAATTAAAATGCGGCCGAATAGTATTGGGGTGCAAATTTGACCATAGGATAGCAGATGCCTACTCAGCCAACATGTTTTTGGTGTCCTGGGCAGAGATGGCTCAATCTAAAGCAATATCAGATTCAGTGGTGCCATCATTCAGGCGATCTCTTCTAAATCCTAGACGTCCTGCTTGTATCCACCCCTCCCTAGACGATATGTACGTCCCCATCTCCAAACTGCAACCTCCCAAAGACTCCGATTCTGATGATGATCACCTCATAAGTCGCATTTACTATGTTAAAGCCGACAAAGCCGACGAACCTAATAAATTTACAATCCGCTTGCGCTCCATTGGCTTGCCAGGGACCAAGCTCGAGTCTTTTTAGTGCCTGCTTTTTGAAACTGGTTTGCCAAGTCTGCTCCAAAATGGAATGAGCCAAGGTTTCAAAAATGGGCCATTTGTTTTGTGGATGGAGGACAGATTAGTGGATACTTGGATTCGTACTTTGGGAAATGTTTGCTCACCGGATTCCTTATGGAAAAAAGAAAATTGATGAGAGCTGATCGCAATCCATTAAGTTGGGGTAGCAAATGAGGTGCATGATTTTCTAGAAAGTGCAGCAACGATAGGAGCATTTTCGCTTAGGATTGATTGATTGGGTCAGAGGCTATACCAGAGCCAGCCTTGGCTAAGATATATGGCATGGTTAGTGAATGATGGGCCGGTTTTGTGGTGTCCATCCGGGGCAGAGAATTTCCTAGTTTTCAAAAGGTGACTTCGGAGGGGAGCGCCCTTTTTCTGTCCTAATCATTTCCTTGGCGGAAACGCCTGTGATATGTCATGCTATCCGAAGTCCCCTCTGCAAGGTGATTGGTATGTACATGCACTTACTGAAAACCCAAATTACATTTGATAGGAGGCTGAGGTTCCAATTTGTTTCAGCCCTTGACTTGCTGATAGAGGCTGAGAGTTCCAATTTGTTTCAGCCCTTGACTTGCGTTTATCTTAAGAATTAACCTCATTTCTTCTTTTCCATGGCTATTTTACTTGAACGTTCCAAATTCAAATGGTGAACTAATGAACGTTTGTCTTTAATTTGGTTTGGATTTTCATTTTGTTTTTATCCTTAATTTATATGCTTTATCTATTTTATCTGTTTGATTTTACTTTCCGTTAGATTAAATTTACTTATGGAATATGCTTTTTATTTAAGTTAATTAACAACGTCACATGGTTCAATCAAGATATAACAATAATCAGAATTTTTTTTTGAACTAGATAGGCATAAAAAGATAACTAACTAAAAACTTTATTCTTATATTTTGTACATCACATATGTACCCATTCCCTTGGCTCACCAAATCAGGGAATGACACATTAGGCAAGAACAAAACAGTTACTAATCCATTGACATAATTAAAACAGTTGCATACAATTTGCGGCCTATGGAGTGGTGGTTTCATCTTCAGAACAACATACTCAATGGCAGCTGCACTAAAAGAATGACCTCCCACAGTGTACGCAGCCTGGAAGAATCAAAATATATAATTCTCACAAGCATGAAAACCAGCAAGCAATCAGATATACAAAAACTAAACATCGAAAATTGTCCATAAGCAGTGATATCCATAAAACACATGTACGGTGAATTATTTAAGGGTCAAGTCAAGATTTTGGAAATCTATTTATTGACAAAAGAAACTCAGGAATGCAAAGTTCATAAAGAAGTAAACATCCTCTCTATTTTAAGTGAGGAAAATTATTTAACTTAATATCTATTCTAGTCTTGATATAATGAACTGAATATTGCAGGCTTACATAGAAGCTGACTCAGATACCATGATGACTTATGATCATAAATAATAAAACAGAGTGGAAACAAAATGATTGGAAATGTTCAGTTACAAATCAAACCTTTTGCATCAAGGAAAAGAGCTTCAAGTCGCTTCTTGGAACTCCATATGCCAAGTATGCCTGCCAACCAATTAGACCAATTAGAGAATAAAGAATCATGAAATATTTTTAGTATGTTGACAAATGGAATCCTAATTTCATCAGCTGTAGAAGAAAACTAGGTTTTAACTTAAGCAAAGAGATCTACATGCATAATAAGAGCATTGTACAAGTTCATCCAGAAAGCAAGCTTCTCATCGCATGTCAAGTGGATAGGATTCACTTTGGCCAGCTGCTCGACAAGAATCCTGTTCTCCAAAGTCCAAAAAGTATAACCAAAAGATTTGTCATATCTAATGCCAGACAACACCTCAATCAATCGATTAACCTGATCATAAGTTAATAAAAAGTAACAAGAGCATATGTTTATCAAAGTACTCAATTTATTATAACTGTTCGATCTCTCCCCCCCAACCCACAACAGGGGAAGATAGACACACAAAAGTTAGAAAATGTATGTCCTGCCCAACCTCATAGTTTAAATTAAACAAAGCATTCAGCAAGAAATTTCAGGTGAAAAAATCAGTAAAGTAAAACAATATGCAGGAAAAGAATTAAACATGGAATTTTTTGGACCTTCCACAATATCTTCTAATTATTAAACAGTTATATAATTACTCATCAAACTTTTTCTTCACTTGCTAGATAAAGTGACATTCATAGAAAGAAAAGACTGGATATCATGAACTGGAATAATAATAATGCACAAGATGTGAAAAAAGAATGTTGTGACCAAATTGTATCCTCATGTCCTGGAAGCCAGCGAAAGGTAAGTCAACTTGCAACCAAAAAGAGTACATGAACATGAACTGAAAGAAAAGCTACCTGACAGAAAGATTGCAGATAAATTCCTAGATCAGAGCTACTTACAAAATGTTTTTCATTATTTATTCTGTAGTAATAATTCTTAGCTTTTTAGATCCTCAAAAACTTTAAATTGCTTAAGAAATAAATGACACAGATCTAAACTATAAGGGTAAACAAAATATTATACCTGAAACTCCTTAATGCCCCTGAGGCATATTCTAATTGCTTCTTCCCAACTGACATCCAAGAAACTTCAGTAGCTAACCCATAGTTTCCTATGTCTGCCCAGCTCAACTTCCCATGCACTCTGTAGGGATCAAAGACATTCTCTGAAGCCAAAACTTCAGAGTTGGACTGTATATCAACTTGGGGGCTCTGCACCCATGATGAAATCTTCGAGCGCTCAGACAATGACCACCATGATGAATTGGAAAAATGTCCTTGAGGAGATACAGGTGAGGATTGGCTTTCCAGTGCAGATGACTTTGATGGTATAGCAGAATCTGGAGGAGATACAGGTGAGGATTGGCTTTCCAGTGCAGATGACTTTGATGGTATAGCAGAATCTGCCAGAGTCATGAATATATTCTTCATACATCTTACCATCTCCTCTGAAAGTTGATTAGGGTAATCCCAGAGGCCCTTAGTTGGTAATCCTTTTGGAATCTTCTTGAACTCTACAGGTTGAGCAGGTTTGGAGACCATCTTCACAGATGCTTTGTCATCCAAAAGTGCAATTGACTTCACTGCATGCTGACCCAAAACACCACATATTAACTGCCAACTACTCCAGCGATAATATTTCTGGAAAAGGTTCATCACACTACCCATTTGAAATTATTAATTTCTTTATAGCAAAGAAACATTCATTTCAGGTATCATAATCTTCATCTTTCAGAGTGGGAAAATAATTTTCGACTATGACTACATCCATATCATATTGCCATATCTGCTAGAACACAGGCTAAAACCATGGATTAGGGCAAGGGGTTTGGCTTATGTGTCGTGGTGTAGTTGATATGTTAAATATTGACCGAGTAATAAATATATACTAGTTGGCTATGGTGCAACTAATTTGACATTATTAGATGGAAAATAATGTTCTTTGCCAGAAGTTTCTTGAATACGTTGTTGATTATGTAGAGCACCAAACAGAAGTCTGGCTCTTTCAGAAAAATCATTTATAAGCCCCAAGCCCCATTACAACTCTCAAGATGAGTGCTTCTCTTCACTTATTGATGCTCTGCCAGAATCACCTCAGAACTCTTACAAAACCCTGGGAATGTGCTCAGACCCCTTCTGGCTTCATTCTGATCTTCCTTCATTAAATTGCATAATAAACTATTTTCTAAATTGCTTTGTAATATAAGTCATCCTAAAAACCCAACTAGGAATTACACATCAACTAATCATGATAAATTAAACACCATTTGCATTTATGCGAACAACCTCAGAATTAATAGTCAAAAGCACAGACAAATGATACCTTGAATGACTAGAAAACCAGCGGACAAAATAAATAAATGAAAATTAACTTACCCAAATAAGCTAAAGCTAAAACAACAACACAAATCTCTACTAGTGGTGCTCCATTTGTGACTTCTTTAGACAATTAGGTTATCGAGTCCGATCACACATTTTCCAATATGACAAACCAACAAAAAGTTCCATTGGAATCACCCCATTAGTATCTCCCTATGAACAAACAGAAAATTTCTGTGGGACCTAGTAGCGTTACACTCTGATTCTAACTTTTTGCTAAAAAATTGTCACATGATTTAGGTAATGGCCGTTTCATTCAAATACTGTATATACCAGAAAATTTTCACCTTTTGTCAAGGGAGTATGAAAACCAAACAAAACCACTGCCTACTTAAAACAAGGAAACAGTGGCAAACTGCTCTAAGGCTGGTGCTTTATCAGTACACCAAGCTACGTCTGCCATCAAGAATAAAATAACAGAGGTATACAGGTAAAAGGAATCCAGAAAGATACCTCTATTTCTGATTGTGTACAAGATGTTTCGGAGCTAGATTCAAAAGGGTGGTCTTCACCAGAGATATCCTCATAAGAGTGATGCAGTGCAGAATTAGAATGCTTCCAACACCTCAAAGAAGATGAAATCTGGAAAGTTAGAAAAGGTCACACTATGCACAAACTTTTGACTAAGAAAATATAATATTTTCATCATACACTAAGGCGTGAAATATTTAGCTAAATACCTGCCACTAAATAAATACTAATACAAGAAAATAAAAGGCATACGCACATAGGAGGTGAAATAATGTGTTTGGATCACAGAATTTTCATAATGGTATGAGAGTGGCACTTCATTTTAGGTTTTGTAACTGCCATTGTTGAAATAATACATCCTCAAATCCTTGCAATGTTAAAATTTGATCAAATCAATAAAATCCCTGAAGCTTAAATTTTCATGGTTTTGGGTCTAAATTTTGCTTCTGCTAATGCTTATCTCTGGAAATTGTCTGGGAACATTAGGCAGCGTTAAAATGTAAAATTATGATCAGGGACAAAAGAAGAGGAAAACCACCAATTCTTGTGCACTAAAAAGTGAAAGAAATACTTAAAATGTTGATTAACATAATATAGGGAGAGTAGAATTAACAACTAACAACCAACACCAGTGCAAAATGAGAGCAATGTTAACTTCATATGTTTTATATGAAACCATGTTGGGCAGAAACTGAACAATATAAAACTAGCCCAAAGGAAGATAAAAAGATAAGTTTCTTAACAAGTCAGGAGAAACAATGTGTCCAAAGAAAAATATTAATTACCGCTTCTTTTGGAGTTTCAGGGGAGTAAACAAATGCAGACTGAGAAGCTGAATGCCTCAAACGATATTCTGTAAGCCTCCGCTCATTCCTTTCCTGACTAAGTTGGAAATGCAAAGAGATAATTTCTTGTTCAAGTTTTGAAATTGTGACTTCCAGCACTGAAATAGTGGATAGAAGCTCCTGTGCCTGAAGGAACATAAGATAGAGGTATTCAGAATAATTGCAAACTCCTAATAGAAACCCTGACCATAAATGCAACAGAAACCACGGTTTGTTGCCAACAAACAAAAAGCAATATGATCTGTAATGGTTCCTGTTAAAATATCAAGTGCGTAAAGAACTAACAAAGTTAACAGCGTTTCTAGTAAAAATTTTAACAGTTAAGACCTATACTTTTATCTACCACATGCAATGTACTTATCACTTTGCCACAGTTGCCAAAACCCTAGAATTAATGTGTACATGCAAGTGCTCATCTATTATAAAATTTAACTTTCCAATCTTTCTTTTAAAATCTTTCAAATAAATTATACATAAGATCAGAAATATGCCAAATTTTTTCAGTCATGTTAATGTCCTTCCTGTATTTGTTCTCATATGTATGATATGCATTCGATTGCAGTCCGCCCAACTGACACGTGTGATATATGAATTGATGTTTTATAATTTTTGCCTTTGGTTGGGTCCGAATAAAAACAAATATTTAGTGGCCGACAACATTTTGACCCGTTTTCACTATCAGAAAACCCATCTCGAACGAGTATTTTCTCATATTTTCCAATCTCATCCTTCATTTTAGTCCCACGAAACCTCTATTTCTTAAATTTTCTCACCAAGCATAACAATTTCAAAAATTGGATTTTAATTTATAATTTTCTTATAAGTTTATAATTACATAATATTTAAGTTATTTAAATTAAACTAAATATAAAATCGAATGATGGAGCTTACTTCCACGTTCACTCGCCCGTATATACTAATTGTTAAGGTATTAATCTTTAATGCAATTAGTCTAGTGATAAAAAAAAAAAACTAAAATTAATCTTTTTGTAATTATTAAATTTTATTTAATTGATATTTTTGTGTATCAATTATCTAGCTAATTGTATTAAAATAATTTATTATAATATTCTAAAAATTATATTTCATATGCAGTAAGTAAAATAATACTAATATACCAATTAATTTCCCCAAGTCATATCCCATATCAATTATCTAGCTAATTGTATTAAAATAATTTATTATAATATTCTAAAAATTATATTTCATATGCAGTAAGTAAAATAATACTAATATACCAATTAATTTCCCCAAGTCATATTCGAGATTTCTAATATATTAGCACCACATGTATATTTCCTTAAAAAAAAAAAAAATTATGCAGGCAACAAAATTAAAATGCGGCGGAATAGTATTGGGGTGCACATTTGACCATAGGATAGCAGATGCCTACTCAGCCAACATGTTTGTGGTGTCCTGGGCAGAGATGGCTCAATCTAAAGCAATATCTGATTCAGTGGTGCCATCATTCAGGCGATCTCTTCTAAATCCTAGACGTCCTGCTTGTATCCACCCCTCCCTAGACGATATGTACATCCCCATCTCCAAACTGCAACCTCCCAAAGACTCCGATTCTGATGATGATCACCTCATAAGTCGCATTTACTATGTTAAAGCCGACAGCCTTAATAAATTACAATCGCTTGCCAGCTCCATTGGCTGCCAGAGGACCAAGCTAGAGTCTTTTAGTGCCTTGCTTTGGCAACTGGTTGCCAAATCTGCCAAAAATGGAATGGCCAAGGTTTCAAAAATGGGCATTGTTGTGGATGGGAGGACAAGATTAGGTGATACTATGGATTCATACTTCGGAAATGTGCTATCCATTCCTTATGGAAAAAAGAAAATTGATGAGCTGATCGCAAATCCATTAAGTTGGGTAGCAAATGAGGTGCATGATTTCCTAGAAAGTGCAGCAACGAAGGAGCATTTCTTAGGATTGATTGATTGGGTCGAGGCTCATAGACCAGAGCCAGCCTTGGCTAAGATATATGGCAGTGGTAGTGATGATGGGCCGGCTTTTGTGGTGTCATCCGGGCAGAGATTTCCAGTTTCAAAGGTGGACTTCGGATGGGGAGCGCCTTTTTTCGGGTCCTATCATTTTCCTTGGGGCGGCAACGCTGGATATGTCATGCCTATGCCGAGTCCCCTCTGCAATGGTGATTGGATAGTGTACATGCACTTACTGAAAACCCAAATACACTTGATAGAGGCTGAGAGTTCCAATTTGTTTCAGCCCTTGACTTGCGTTTATCTTAAGAATTAACCTCATTTCTTCTTTTCCATGTCTATTTTACTTGAACGTTCCAAATTCAAATGGTGAACTAATGAACGTTTGTCTTTAATTTGGTTTGGATTTTCATTTTGTTTTTATCCTTAATTTATATGCTTTATCTATTTATCTGTTTGATTTTACTTTCTGTTAGAATAAATTTACTTATGGAATATGCTTTTTATTTAAGTTAATTAACAACATCACATGGTTCAATCAAGATATAACAATAATCAGAATTTTTTTTTTGAACTAGATAGACATAAAAAGATATCTAACTAAAAACTTTATTCTTATATTTTATATACCACAACGTATGTACCCTTCCCTTATCTCACCAAATTAATGAAAACAACTGTGGTCGATGTGATTCAAATTTGAAATATTTCGCTTCTCATATAAGTGAGAAGACCGATTAAACCACTATGTAGATGTATTTATACACAAATTATTTAGTTTTTACGAAAAAAATATAAATATGAACTTGAATAAAAGAATATATATATATATTCTTAAAGCAGGTGTTGAATATTGATTTGGAAAAAATTAAATGTCAGCTGAACCAACTAAATGATAAGGGGAAAAACCAATTGGGCCAATCATTTTGGAGCGGGTGTATTAGTTTCGCCAAACCGCAAAGAGCCAAAATGATAGTATTGTATTTATTGATTCATCGATAAGCTAACCACACGCACTATCAAATGCCTTTTCTTCTTTTTACGGCAGTCAATATTATATTAATACGCATGAGGGAGAAGGGGAAGCATCTCCTTCACTTACCAACCCTCCTCTCCTCATAGAAAAAAAAAAAAAAAAAAAAAATGTGAAAAGGTCGATTTAATTAGTAACCAAATGTACGAGATAAGTTTTGGCACTTGTTAGGTTAGTATTTTTTTGGAACATTGTATTGAAGGTTTAGGTGACTTTTAACAACAAATCAGTTCGATTAACAACTCTTTCTTGTTCTTTTATAAATTTTACAATAATGTATTTTGGCTTGCTTTCATGGATCACGATGCCTTTTTATATTACATTAATCTTGATATTTATATTATTTTGTAAATAAGAAAATTGGAAGGCTTTAGGTAGGCAATAGTTTATTTATATTTTAGTCAATTAAATTAGTTCTAATCAGTTTTTTAAGTTTTGTAAATTGAAATTTTTAAATGGATTTACGTTTCACCAGTTTTGACGAGCCAAATTAGAGAAATATATATCTTAATAATCAAAACACCCATCATATCATTAATTATGTATTATTATTAATTATGTATTAATTATTATTATGTGTTGCCTATCAAGAGGGAGTTAACCAGAATGCATTTTCAAGTGGAACTTGCAAGTTGGTATATTTTTACTATTCCTTTCAGTCATCAAATGCTTATAAGACTTAATGTTGATGAGGGAGCTTATATATATAGGGCACTCCACGTACCAAGGACCCAGTCCAAGTTGCATTTTTCAGTTGACTTGTCTTTTATATATAAGTCATTTTTTAGATTTTTCAATCCTAAACATCAATAATATCCGATGGTCAAGCTTAAAAGTCGGATAATTTCTTATTACTACCCCTGACTGACATAGTTTAGTGCAGGCAATTTATATTTATTTAAAATTGCAAACCAATCCATAAATAAAAACAATCTAATAGAGATCTTACTTGCTGCTAGCCTTATTTATTGTATCCTGCCAACCCATCTAAATTGAAAATCATAGCGTTGTATGGCATGTATTATTTGTCAATATATGATTACTGTTTTTGTCAATGTAATTTAATTCCATAGGTTTCAGTTCAGATCAGAGACGGGATTATCCACCCACCATTAAGCACTCCACCTTCATCAATTTATGTGAGAGTATATTGGGACCGTTTATTCAAAGAAATCCCACTTCAGCTGTCTGCTTCGTTTTTTGGAGAAAATTGAAAATTTCTCAGTTGGCCATGAATAAAAATTATGTCATATAAATGGGAAAAGAACTACATTGGAAGGCTCCGTGTTTACGACAGTAGTCGAAGCGAAATGACACCTACTTACATTAATACTAATGAATGATCTTACAGAGCAGTACTAACTGCGCTCAACCATTTCTGTGACTGTTCATGTAGATATGATGCCCTTAAAATCTTAGGGCTTATAAACAATTTGGCTATTGTTCTCATTCATATACATAATGAGCATTGGCCACCTCTGCATCTCATCAACAAATTCCCCTATCTTACCATACTGCTCAGTAACTCCCATTTAAAAAGATTAGTAATCAGTATGTTCAACTATCCTTTTTCTTGTTAATAAATGTACAACACAAATGAAGGGGCACGAACAGGTCTAACAGGTAAAGGACCAAAAACTTGCCACCATCCTTTTATATTCTTCAGGAGGCTAAACCCCTAGTTTTTTGAAAAACCATAACATGACATGAATTTTGAATCGAGCAAATCCAGATTCCATCATGAGTTACTTTTGGAGTCAAATTTAGAAATCAACACCGCTCGTCAAGCTGAGAAATTTCTTCAGGCATGGGAAAAGAGGTTATCGGAACGAGAATCAAATGAAGAATTGCCACAATTGCCGAGAACCAAGCAGGACCTGTTGGCCGGACCTCTGTGAGAATGGCATTGCAACAAACGCCAGCCTGTATTGGATTGGGAAAGTAATGTGATAATCCAAACAGCCAAATTGATCATCCAATTTAAGCCTTCCGGCAAACCCAGTGCTGTTAGCATCTTCAAGCACCAATAACTTCCCGTATGATTGCTAACTCCACGAAGCTTCTTATGAAATTACATCGCTGGCGAGCTTTCTTCAAGTCTTCGCCTTCACATTCTTAGGCAGTGTAGGATCTTACCTGCATTTTACA